GATGTGGAACAGGAAATGATTGAATTGTTGTCATATTTATTTCACTGAAATGAAAAAAATTAATTGTCTATAGAAAAATATTCATAAAAGACGTTCTTAATAAAATTTATTAAACAAAACTCGATAAACTGAAATATCTTTATCATTACTTTTCTATTCAATTATTATTCATTTCAGTAAAATAAATCAATCAAATTGATACAAATCTTTCGTATATACTTGAACTTTCACAAAGAAGCAATTCTTAACCATAAAATTTTCACCTATCAAAGTTTTTACTGATTTTTCATATTATAAATGAATGTTTTGAACATTGTGTACTATCTTTTTTTAATAAATATATTTTATTTACTTACATCTATTCAAAATAACCTGTCAATGTCGATGAAACTTTATTGAATAAATCAATATGAACGAATATATGCTACTTTTGTTTCAAGGATAGTATTTATAGTCCTTGCACTATAGTTGACCGAAAGAAAATAAAATGACTGAACTTTCTCGATTTTTTTTTCCAGTAAGAAGAATAACTATCGGTCAAAATATAGGAAAAAATTGTGAACGTGAATGAGCATGATGTAGGTTACGAGAAGAGACATCTATTTACATTCGCACCCTCAACAAATCATATAATGTCAATTTGATTACTCAGAAAAGAGCTATCTGCATTCTACCCGTTTTTATGTATTAGAGTTTTATGTGCTCTATTTATTGATTAAATATAAGATTGATAATGCCTTCATTTTATTAAATTAATTTTTAATCGATAATAATTTTTGTTTCATGTAATTAATCAATAAATTTAAATTATGTTTTATTCAACATTAACATGCTAATTAACGTGAAAAATCTTCATCATCATGTATTTCAGATCGCACATTTGAATATCTTCTTGTTCAATATCAGAATTCCTACAATACTAATTTATTGTTATTGAATATTCTTCAGCATACGCTCATGGACAACTAGATAAAGATAGAGTACTTTTCTCCTTTATTTTATAGTTCAATCATATTAAATTTACAGATAATAAAAAGTGAATTATAAAACTTATATATTTTAGATATCTTTTTCAAATAATTTTAAAATGAAGTGCCATCGTTTCATATTAATAATTGCGTGTGTCATTATACCGGCTGCACTTTTACTAGGGCAAATTACGCGATCACGGATTGAACAAGTATCAAAGGGATACATGCAAAACATTCGCGACTACCAAAAATGTACGCAAGTCAAAAGCAACGGCAACATAAACGATCGTTAACGATGATCGGAATGAGCGTCTTAGGTATTGCATTAATAGTGCTTGTCGTTGGTCGTTAATGGTCTAACATTCTTACCTAAGAAACGAAAATCACATGAATCCGACTGAGTCGAACATAATTTGCTATCCCATCTCCACGAATATTCGAAATAACATATATGCACATGTTACTATTATTGTTAAAGAATGTATGTATTATTCAATAAAAATAGATCAAGTATAAAACATAAATTTTAGATGTCTTTTTAAAATGACTTCAAATTAATGTTCATGGAATTGGCTCTACTAATATCATGCGTAATCATACCTGGAGCTCTTGTATTTGGTCGGATTGCAAGACTATTTCTTCCTTCTCCATCTAAGCAATATTTGGAAAACATATTAGATTATCAAAAATGTATCCAAGTCAAAAGCACCGACAACGTAAACAATGCAAAAGCGGGGACCATTTCTGATCGTCAGAATGATCATCCTGGGTATTGTATTAATAGTGCTTGTTGTTGGCCATTTTATGGAAGAACCCCAATATAAAATTTTAAAATGGTCATTAATACGAACACTGAATTTCTAGATCGGTATTATAGATATATTCTTTTCGATCACATATGTTCGTCGTTTTTTAAATGATAATATTTTACTTTTCCTAGATTATCTTCTTGCTCTTATATCTGTAATTTTATTAGCTTTAAACTGGGCCTTATATTGTGATAGTCGCGAACAAGTTGAAGATAAAGAATAAATTTTAAAAAATATATATGAAACTTCATTTTCTATTAATTAGTTTTGTTTTTTTTCATTAAGATTCAACAGTAAAAAATATGACCAAAAAAAAGAAGAGCAATTATAGATATATCATGTACAAAAGGATGAAATCAGTATCGTAGAAGACGGCAAAAAAAAAGATGACATGTATTCTATATGTGTGTCACGTTTGACTATTGACCTAGATATTAAATATTAAATTATTGATAGATTTTATACCTTTTTTCTTAGAATTTACTTTTCAATTTAGATAGATAAGTCAGATTTAAATTTATTTGAACAGATTGCTTAATCCGCTGAGTTGAACTACGACTACAGTTTCTAAAAAGTTTATAAGTATTATACTATTATATTCTTTTGAATGAATAATAACATTAATATTTACTTCTCGTGCTATTATAACAAACGAACATATTATATTTGAACTATTCCCAGAACAAGTTTTTGTAATTAAATTTTTAATGATTTTAATTCATATTTTATCAATTCATCAAACTGGCTTCTTGAACTTTTCGAAAACAATCATCTATCAAAACTTACATCATGACCTCATATCAATATTCGTGACTGATTCTATTTTTTTTTTCTAATTTCCAGATAGATTAATTGTTTTTGTTCAACAATTTCCCAATACACTCCGTGTCATATTTCAACAACACATAGAAAATGAAAAATATTCATTTATTTTTCACCTCAATATTAGTCGATGACGTCGTTCTATCGTCAAATGATATTTCTCTAAAGACATTTTACATATTTAATCATGATATGATTAAAACAAGTGTAACTATTCTCAAGAGTCTAAATACAACAATGCTTTATGATACACTTTTCTTCTTTCATTCACTTGTTTCATTCGACAAGTAGACGGCAGTCATTCAAACTACAACTAATTCCCGGTATCATGCAGATTCCGGTTATTCTTGTTTTATTGATAGTTTTTATAGAGAATAGTATTCTTATTCAAATCGAAGGTAAATTTATTTTAAATTCATATATATTTGTTATATTGAATAATATTTATATTAGATGGAATAACTTTTCTCAATCGTTCTCAATCTAAACCTGATTCGGATGGTTTTTATCATTTATCAAATTATGAATTTAAATGTTTTCGACAATTATCAACATGTTCATCACATGGTTGGTCATTAAGATTTAAATTACATTTAAATTCATTTAAAATTGTTGATCGTGAACGTAAATATTTATTATTTAGTACGGGTGCACATGAACCTCATGGTGATGGAATGTCAATTTATTTATATCAATCAAAAAATACATCATATCTTGAATTTGGTTTAAAAGAATTTCGTAATGATCAATTTGCTTATTTTTGGCAAGTTGAAGCTGATTTAGAAGTTAATAAATGGATTGATGTTGTAACAACAATTGAACAACGTACTTCACCTTTTGGTAAACATCATCAAATGACAATATTTTTTGATGGTTATTTGTATAAAGAAACACATGTGGAAAATTATACAGAAGTATTTGCATTTAAATATAGTGAATTACATCCAAAAACAACTGTTGTTTATGGAAATGATACAGGATTAGTTAAGTTTGATGAAATTATGTATTATGAGAAAATTTTATCCGAAGAAGAAATTGCTAATGGTATGTCAAATATGATAATTTTAAAATTAAAATAATAAAATATATATTTATACATGATTTTAGTACCATCGGATCGTGTTTCATTGGGTTGTTTAAAAGAAATTGATATGATTCATCAATATATAATACCAGAAAAATATGATAAATGGCAACAATGTCGAGCGGAATGTCGTGAACGAAGAATGAAGGTATTTTAATTGTTTTCTTTTTTTTTTCCTAAGAATATTTTCATTTATTTTTGAATAGATTGCTCTCTATTCATCAACAAATGGTCAATGTGGATGTATTCAAAGTACTTTTGAATTGGATTCATCGTTTAAATATGATACAACAATTTGTAAATGTTCATTATCACAACCAAGTAAAACATGTCGAAATAATGGACAATGGCATGCTCTATCAGTATCAAATGTTATTGATTTAATTGATAGTGAAGTTGGTAGGTTTGATTTGCTGACAATAGAAGTTTTATAATCTTTCTTATATTTAATTAATACATTATCTATAACATATTTCTTTGATCAAATAACAAAATAATTGATTTTATTTGTAGGTCTTGAAATTAGTATGGCTGATTCAAGTTTTCTTACTCATGGTCGAACAAGAGTTCAAATAAATGAAGGTGTTGAAATTATTGTTTTAATAAAAAATGAACGAAATCTTGCTTCATTAACTGTTTATGGTGATATCGAAGGTCAAGAAACAGCAAATACAAATACAAATTCAAGTTCAAATGAAATCTATATTACTCCTGGTGTTGTAAGTTCATTTTTTTCTTTTTAATTCTAACTAGAAATTCTATTAAATTTTTTTTAAACAAAAAAAAAATAGGTAAATCTTTCATGGAAAAATGAAGGTGCAAAAAAAGTACAATTTCGTGCTGATTATCGTCGAATGGTTAATTCTGAAATGGCTGAATATCGTACAGTTTATGTTGATGTTGTTTATATTAAAACAGATTTAGCATTACAATTTGTTCATCTTTCACCTGATAATCGTGATGGTGATACATATCAAAATTTTACTGTACAAACATTTGGTAAATATATATATATATCGAATATATTGATAATTTTTTTTATTATCTAGGAAGTGTACCAATTAATTGTACAGTTGATTTTGGTGATGGAAATCGTCAAACAAATGGTACAAGTCGTCATCAATATTATACGGCTTATTTTGCTCGAAATTATACACAATATGGACAATATAATGTAACTGCTCGTTGTTATAATGATCGTAGTTCAAATACAACAAAATTATTACGAACAGTTCGACGAGAAAAAATGAATAAAAAAATGATTATTTATAAAGATCTTATGGAAGCACCAACAGCAAGTCGATTTAATTTAATATCACGTGAAGATTATTCATTTCGACATGCTAGTTGTTTATATTTAAAAAATATGATTACAAATGATAAAATGAAATTAATTTGGAGAAAAAAATCTTTAGAAATTATTCCAAATGAGGTAAATAATATTGTAATATTTTTTATTAAGCTATCTTTATTATTATTTAGCCATTACCTGCCGGTAAACATCTGTATCAACTTGAATGTGATTCAACACCATTACAAGCTTATTATCTTAATATTCAACCAGCAGTACGATCATTAGATATTGAAGCATCACAAACAATCATCAAGAGTGGACAATCAATTCAATATTCTATTACACTTGAACCAACATTTGATTTAACAATTATTTTTGATTGTAATTCACCTACAATTCCATTACAAATTCTTCATATTGAACAAATAACTGATATGTCACCAATATATGTTGCTAATTGTACTTATACAAAAACTGGTCAATATCATCCATTAGTTAGTGCAATAAATCGTATAAATTTAGTTAATCAATCTATACGTATTGATGTTGAAGAACCATTATCACAATTTAAAGTTGAAATTGAAGATCGTCATGATATCAATCAATTAACATCAGTTACGATTCGTGCATTAGAACGTATACCATTTGAAGGAGTATTTACATTAACAATTGTTGATAGTACAAGTATTAATGAAAAAAATCAAACACGAACTGAACGTATACAATTATTATCATCAAATGATTTTACTGAACAATTTTATATGAATATAACAACATATGGAAGACAAACATTACATGTACGTGGTGGAGATTATCCAACAATACGTGAAGCACAAACAACATTTACTATTGGTACAGATATAACAACAAAACCACAAGTTTACATTGTTAATCAAATAGCTTTTATCAATGAAGATTTTGTTTGGGTTGATATACAATGGATTAATGGTATTGGTTTTGATATACATATTGATTATGGAAATGTTAAAAAAGTTGATATACGTTATGGACAAATAATAAAAAGTCAAATTAATCGATTAATAAAGAAAAATGATGGAATACATGAAATACAATGGAAAAGATTATCTAAACAACGATTACAAGTTGGATATAAGTAAGTTAAAAATTAATTTTCTTTTCTATATTAGAATTAAGAAATCTTTTATAGATTTAAAAAAGCTGATACATACAAAATTGATGTTACATTTACTCAACCATCTTCAAAACTTCTTACTGCTGCAATTAAATGTCCAACAGTAACTATTGTTAATAATATAGTTGAACCTGAACAAACATGTTTTCCAGAACAACAATTTTCTTTAAGTTCTTTAACTGCTATCAATAATATAAGTTCAACATCACCTGTACTTCTTTTACCTTATACACTTCAACATAATCTTGAACCAATAATAATATCAAATTGTTCAGAAAATGATTTTCTATATTCATTTTATGTTTTATCAATTGATGCATCACAATGGAAATATTCTCGTACACAACGATATTCATCAAGTCAACAATCATTTCAAGAAACATTTCTTTCAAATGATTGTTCAGAAATTGGACCAAAATCAACATTAACTATGGAACCAAAATCACTTTCACATGGATATTATTTAGCTGTATTTACAATTAGTTTAAGTTTAAATCCATCAGATTTTCGACAATTTATTCAACCAATTGAAATTATACGTTCAGATTTAGAAACAACATTTGGTGGAAATGAAACAATAACAAGTGATGGTGATAAAATTTCTTTAGATTTTTATTCTTCAACAATTGATCCTGATATCAATGAATTTGATCGTCGTAAAATTAATTTTACTCTATTATGTTATCCTGAACAAATGGAATCATCAATATTTGTTCCCAATACAATGCAATTAGGTTCATCAAGACCAACAGAAACAAATTCACAAAATCATAATAGTTGGTCAATACAATGGACTGATTTTTCATTGGTATTACGTCGTTCAGAATTAAATATTCAAATCTATGAAAATCATTGTTTTTTATCAAATAAAAAACAAAGAAAAAATACAACATCAATTGATTTTGATTTAAAAACAAAGATATTTAAAATTAATGAACAAAATTTAGATTTTAGTAATGGAACACTTCATTTTTTACTTATTATTCGACATTTAATTGATGGACGACAATTAATTTCACGTTTAGAAATTGATAAACAAACGAAATATGTGTTTGATACAATTGATTTAGGTGCATTAGAAGATGCAATGGGTAATTTAGATGATTTAGCAGCAACAAATCCAAAAAAAGCAGTAGAATTAATAGGAAGTTTAGCAGATAAACTTAATGAAATGAGTGATAATTCTGTAAGTAAAAATTTTTTCATTTGTATTTGTAGTTTATATGAGTTATTTTTAAAATAGACTGGTGGAGAATTAAGTGAAGATGATAGAAATGCAATGAATGAACGAATGGCACAAGTAAATTAAAATATATTCAAAAAAAAAAGAAATATGTATATATTTAATTTTAGATGCGATCAAAAATGTTATCATCAATGGATACAGTTTTAGAGTCAGCAGATGATCCAAATATGGTTGATAAAGCACTTAAAGCAAGTACAACAGTGACAGCAAATAGTGATCAAATGCCATTTAATAATCAAGTTTGATTCATTTTCTAATTCATAGAATTTATTTTTTCTAACTCTATTATAATTTGTAGGAAAAAGGAGCTAATATTATTGAAAAAGTTGGTAATAAAGTTAAAAATATGGAAACAGTTGATGATAATACAGTTACTGGTCTTGCTACATGTTTGTATTTCTTTTGTTTTTGATTTGAAACAAAAAAGAATTTATTATTTGTAGCATTAATGGATGTTGGTGGTAATGTTCTTCAAGCTGCATCAAAATCTGTTTCAAAAGATAAAACAAATGATCCAGCTGCTACTATTGCAGTAAGAAAAAAAAATATTTTTTTTAATGCTATAATGTCTACTTAAATAATAATATAATTTTAGAATCTTGAAGCAGAATTGAAAGAAACAGAAAATGAAGAAACTGAAACTAAAGTTTTATATGCCCCAACAAAATTTTATGATGATTGTGATGAATGTGATACATTACCTGAAGAACGTTGGGAAGCATATCGACTAAAATTAGAAGAAGAAAAGAAAGCAATTGTTGCAGGACGAGAACGAGTATTATTTATTTTCTATTATTATTCTATATATATATATATACTTTTATTTTAAAGGCTTCACATATTGCTAAAACAAGTTCAAATGGTTTATTTACTGTTGGTGGTGTTTTAGCTAATCGTTCAACTGGAGATGAAGCCAAAACTATTGAAAGTAAAACAATGGCAATGACATTTACAAAAGCATCTCCCGATGGTATAAATAACATATATTTATATTTTTGTTTCTTCTCTTTACTCAAAAGAATTTTTTTTTGTTTAAAAAGGTAAATCAAGTTTATCAGCTGGTGATACAAGTATACGTTTACCTGGTTTCAATGATTTAAATTCGGGTCCAGATTCTTCTAATGTTTTTACTAAAGTACTTGAATCAAAAGAAAATCCATATGCAAGTGCACATGGAGATTCAAATGTACAAGGAAGTGTTGTTACTATTATTTTATCTCGACCAGATGGATCTGAAATGCCAATACAAAATACAACAAAACCAATATCAATTCGTTTAACAAGACCCGTTGATAAACAACCACCATTTCAAATACATGACTCACATGGAACAACATTTCGATATCATAAAATGAATTTACCTGAAAATCATATGACATTATCTATTTATGTTGCACCAAATTCTTCACCTATGGATACATATGCTGTTTATGTATCTTATGGAATTAATGAAACACTATTAGAACCACCAACTGAATCAAAATTTGATTTACTTTTTGTTTTACCAAATAGAACAATTCTGTCGGACGTTAATTTAGATGATGAATATGAAATAAGACATACAATTTTTATGCCACCTAGTGTTCATTTAGGTAATGGAACTTATATATTTGGTGTCAAATTATTAAGTAAATATTTAATTGAAAAAAACAAATTCTGTTTGATTAATAATAAACTTTTTAGATGCAAGTACAAATATGAATATAACAGAATATAATTCAAGTTATATAGTCAATATGTATGTATCAAAATGTCAATATTGGAATGAAAAACAATTTGTTTGGAGTTCTGATGGATGTGAAGTAAATAAATCGCTTTGTTTAATAATTGAATTATTGATTTGTTGTTGTCAATTAGGTTGGATCTTCAACAACATTAAAATCGACGGAATGTCTTTGTACACATTTGACAACATTTGGAAGTGATTTTTATGTGCCACCAAATACAATTGATTTTAGTACAGTTTTTTCAAAATTCAAAACATTACACGAAAATGCTGCAGTATTTAGTACTGTATTAATTATTTTTGGTTTATATATTATTGCAGCAGTTTGGGCAAGAAGAAAAGATCGACAAGATTTAATTAAAGTAAAATATTTTTATTTATTTCATAAAAATAAATACATTTTTTAATTTTAGTGGACAGCTGCACCACTTGCTGATAATCTTCCAATTGATAGTTATCATTATTTAATAACAGTCCATACTGGTGTTGGTAAAGAATCTGGTACAACATCAAATATAAGTTTTGTTATGTGTGGTGAATCAGCTGATAGTGGTGTACGAAAATTATCGGATGGAAAAATTCAAGTAAGTCTACAAATTAATATCTATTAGTATAATTAATATTTATTTTTAGGAATTTAAATCTGGAAGTGTAAGAAATTTTGTTATGAGTGTTGAAGCACCACTTGGTCCATTACTTTATGTTCGTGTTTGGCATGATAATTCTGGTGGAAAAGGCAAAGCATCTTGGTTTTTAAATATGGTTAATGTATTGGATTTACAAAGTGGAGAAAAGTAAAAAAAGAAATAAGACTGTTTTTTAAATCTAGATATTTTTTTATTTTCGATTAAAGAAATCATTTTATTCTTGATAACTGGTTGGCTGTTGAAAAAGGTGATGGTCTCGTTGATCGTGTTATACCATTAGCAACAGCTAAAGAATTAAAAAGTTTTGCACATTTATTTACACAATCAGTTAAGAAGAAGTTTAGTGATGGTCATTTATGGTTTTCAGTATTTTCTCGACCTGTTCGAAGTAATTTTACACGTTTACAACGTATATCATGTTGTATATCATTACTCTTCTGTACAATGATATCAAATGCAATGTTCTATCGACAAGATACACAAGCAACCAAAACAAAAGCTGGTGTTTTAATGAAAATTGGTCCAATTGAATTTACATTAACACAACTATGGATAAGTTTTATTGGAACATTAATTGTTTTACCAGTTAATTTAATAATTGTTACTTTATTTCGTAAAGCAAAATATAGTCAAAAAGCTTTAGTAACACATCAAAGACAAGAAACAAAACGACGAAATAAATTAAATGAAAAAGATGAACAACATGAAAAAACATCAAGATTTTTTTCAAGATCAAAATCACGTTTAACACATTCGAAAAATTCTAATGAAGATGATATTGAACGTATTGGAGCAATACCTTCAATTGAAGATAAAACAAGAACATTTCCACATTGGACTATTTATATTGCATGGGGATGTAAGATAAATAAAATTCAATATTTTCATTTATATATACATATTTTTGTTTTATTTTGTTTTCTAGTGGTTACATTAAGTATTCTTACATGTTCATTTTTTATTATTTTATATTCATTAGAATGGGGAGCTAAACGAGCTAATGAATGGTTAATAACAATGATGCTTTCGTTTGGTCAATCCATACTTGTTATTGATCCATTTAAAGTATTTCTTGTAACAGCAATTATAAGTTTTCTTATTCGTCGACCATATGATGATGATACACTTGATTTTAATGATCCATTTACAGGTGCATTAGTATCAAATAATAATATGACAGAAACTGATAATTATGATATTTTTAATGATACAAAAATTAAAGGTAACATTTTTGAAGATTTATTAATTAAAAAATCAAAATTTTTTTATTGAATTTCTTAGATATAGCACGTCAACGTCGTGTTCGTTTATTTGATTTACGTCCTATTGATTCAAGTGAAATGTCTCGTGCACGTGAACAACGTTTACGTGAAATAAAAATGGGAGAAATTATTCGTGAAATTGTTGTTTATGTATTTTTCACCATGGTTTTATTATTTCTTTCCTATCAAGCACGAGATACAAATTCATATGGTTTATATCGTGACACAAAAAATATGTTTGTTACATCTGATTTTCATGATGTTAATTCAATTCGTACATGGTGGGATTATTGTGATAATGTTTTATTAAAAGGACTCTATGCTCAAACATGGTATAATGATAAAAATTTAACATGGAGAGAAAAATTAACAACAGGAAGTCGAGTTTCAATGCGTGTTGGTGCACCAAGAATTCGACAATTACGTGTCAAAGAAAATAGTTGTCGAGTTCATCGTCGTGTTAAACATGTTATAAAACATTGTCGTGATGATTATAATTGGTTTGATGATGATACTAAAGATTATACACCTAAATGGGAACAAGTTTTAAATAAAACTGCAGCTAAAATGACTGATGAAATGAATAATGGTTCAAAACGATGTAAAACACCATGGTGTTATCAAGTTAGTTTCATTACTGAATAATTGCGATATTCTAAATTTATTTTATTTTCTAGAGTAGTGTTCGTACAAAAAGTGGTCCAATGAAAGCTCTCTATAAAACATATAAAGGAGGTGGTTATGTTGTATCATTAGGTCGAACATATGAAAAAGGTCGATCAATTCTTGAAGATCTTCGTTCACAAAATTGGCTTGATCAATTAACACGTGCAGTTATTATTGATTTTAGTCTTTATAATGCCAATGTTAATCTGTTTATTTCTGTAACACTTTCATTTGAAATGACATCAATGGGTTCAATTATACAAGATCATCAAATAAAAATCTTTCGTTTATATGATCATATTGGTGGTTATGGTATGCTTGTTTATCTTTTTGAACTTTTATTTGTTATTTTTACAATTTATTCAACAATACATGAAATTATATTACTTGTTAAACAAAAACGAGCATATTTTGATAAATTCTGGAATGTTATTTCATTTATAACAACAGTATTTAGTCTAGCAGCAATTATAATGTATGGAACAAAGAAAACATTAACAAGATTAGCTATTCGATCATTAAGAAAAAGTGAAATGGGTAAATTCTTTTTCTTTTTTTTTATTTTTATACAAACCAACGTATTTTAATTTTTAGGTGAATTTGTTAATTTTAATGCAATTGGAAGTTTTGATGAAGTTTATTCATATATTGTTGCATTAATAACATTTTTTACAATGTTGAAATTTTTGAAATTACTTCGATTTAATAAACGTATTGGAATGTTATCAAAATCACTTCATTATGCTCGACAAGATTTAAGTTCATTTGGATTTGTTTTTCTTATTTTTATGATTGCATATGCAATTATGGGTTTTGGTGTTTTCGGTCGTTCATTACAATCTTATAAAAGCTTTTTTACTTCATTAACAACTTGTTTTCGAATGCTTTTAGGTGAAATAAATGCACCTGATATGTTTGCTGTCAGTCGACTTTATGGTAAATAAAATATTTCATTTTTAATATAGATCTTTCTATTTTATTTCTTAGGAGCATTTTATTTTCTTTCATTTATTATACTTGTCTTTATTGCATTATTAAGTATATTTTTAACAATGTAAGTATATAATTAAATTAAGAATTTTGTTATGAAATTTAAATTTATTTTTCATAGTTTAAATGATTCATTTGCACATGTTAAACGAGAATTAGCTGCAACACAACAAAGAAATGATATGATGGATTTTATGTGGTCTGCATTTCGAAAAGTCGCTGGAGTTAACAATAAAAAAGTAAATGAAGATGGAGATGATAAAATGAAACATGATATGACAACATTATTTGGTTCAATTGATAAGAATAATGATGCACCATTGGCTAAATTTGATGGTGATGATCTTTAAATTATTTAAAATAAGACTATGAATTTTTTAAAAAAAAAGAGACTTAATTATTATTATTTTATTCTAAATTTCAGCTGTATTTTTGTCTGCTTATTCAATACATATATTTATTTAATTATCTATTTATTTAACTATGACAGAATTTTCGTCAATAAAATTGGCTTACGCAACAAAAATAGAATATTTTTTTAAATTAATTTTATTTAAACTATCATTTTTTTGAAGTATAATATTATTTCATTTGTTGTCTAAATGATATATTATGTTTCTCATCTAAAATGTATGAGTTGTATATCATTGATATTTTAAGTCAAAAATTGCAAATATTGAATACTTTTTATATAGATATTATTTCATCTGAATAATATCATCATTTACATATATTTTCATACTTGCCATTTCTTCGCTAATCTGCTGATGTGAAGACAAAGCCATGTGTACATTTCTACTATTATTACTACTATTTTCCATTCAAAAAGAATCTATTTTCTTATTTCTTATTTTATTTTGCGTAAAACTGATCATTGAATTAAGCATTCTTTATTGTTAACGACAGTAGACGAGTTCTTACTGCTTGAATTTTTTATTCGTCTTCATGAGATGACAGTGACAATTGTTTCTCTTTCAGTCGGGCGATGTCTGCTTCAACTCCCTTCACCCTTTCATGTTCGGGTCCATAATTAACTTGATAGATCAAAAGACTCTCATTGAAATAACGAAGTGCTTCGGATAAATTGTTCATATTTTCATAACATAGGCCAATATTTCTTAAGCTGTTTGCAATGTTAATGTGATCAGAAGACAATGTTTGTCGATAGAGTTCAAGTGCTTTAAGTTGATATCGTAGTGCATCTTCCATCATATCATTGTTGAAATATAAACAAACCACTGATGTCAAACATTCAGAAGTGACTTGCTGATCCAATGGTGTGCAATTCTCCAACATAGATAGAGCTTGTTCATAATATTGTAATGCTTCGTTGGGATTGTCGTCCTCAATCAAATCAGCCATGATCATTAATGTTCGAGCAATACGAGAATGATTTTCACCCAATCTAGTTTTTTGAATAGTAAGCTTTTGTTCACAGAAGTTTAAAGCTTTGTCAGTCTCATTCATCGTTTTATAAATATCAATGACCGAACCGAGATGAATTGAAAGATCTGAATGCTCGAAAGGTAAACATTGTTCTTCCATATTTAATTGTTGTTGATAATAATCCAGAGCAATATCTAAATTACCTTTCTTCTTATGAGCATCTCCTATCATACCGAAACATGATGCTATATGAGAGTGTTGATCAGGGAGAACATGCTTAAACATCTCGAGAGCACGAGAGAAATAAGCAAGAGCCGTATCAAAATCTTCTTTATCCATGTATACTCTACCAATATCACCAATTGTCATAGCTTTTCCTAAATTATTGCCTGGATGTAAGTTTTCGTCAATTGTCAAAGCCTGTTGATAATAATCGAGTGCTGTATTAAAATCACCTTTTGCTCGATAAATACCACCAATATTGTGAAGTGAACCAGCAATGTGAGGATGATTTGAAGGTAGTTGTTTTCGACGCATCTCATAAGCTATCTCTAAGTTTTTTAAAGCCAAATTCAATTCATCTCTCGCACGGTGTACTAACCCAATATGATTATAAACACTTGCAATATCAGGATGATCATATGGAAGTGATTTCAGTAACATATTAAAATATTTTCCTGCACGATCTACTTGACCTAATTCATTCATGAGAAGTCTACCAAAATAAATAAGTGGTGTGTATTCTTCCATCTGTTGTTTCGATAATGAAAGATATTCTTCAACTTTTTCTGCACCTTCATCAGTTGCATTCAGTTGTACTTTCCATATACGAAATTCAGAATCAAAATTGGCAGAAACAATCTTAAAGAGTGAATTGAGATTGAAAAGAACTTCTTCTTCACCTTCTATTCGACTTTTATTTCCAACATCAGCAAAAATCACTGTTTTCAATAATGGATTTGCTTTAATTTCGAATAGGACCGATATAAAATCATTTGATTGAGCATTCATATGAATAAATGCAAGAGATACATCGATATTTCGTGATGTTGATAAGAATCCATTTGTTGAAATAGTTTTACCAATGTTTTCTTTTATTTTTTCTAATTCTTCATTTGGAATTTGTGTTCCACGATATAAAGTTAATGTTCCTTTATTTTTCAGAAGTTGATTTTCTTGTTCAATAACTGAACATAAATCAATAATAAAGAATCGAAAAGTAAAGAGTAATTCAATATCTTCTGTTCGAAGTGCTTTATTTAATAGTTTATAAAGAAAACATTCATCTGTATACCATTCAATTGCTTTGTCACGAGTATAAGTATTTTTAAATTCTTCAATCTTCTTTAATTCTTGTTTATTATTTTTATAATAATCACGACACATATCGAGCAGTTGTTTTTTTGATAGTTTATCTTGTGGCATTTGTTTTAAAATATAAATTAACATTTGATGTAATAGAAATGAAGCTGATTCTTGTGATAAATCTTTTAATGATTTTTGTTTTTGATCAAAAAGACTAAATGTTAATGTTTGTTTTTCAACTAGATTCATTTTATCTTTAATTGATTCTAATAAATCATGTTGTTTAGTAAATATTCCAACGATTTTATTATATTCTTGCATCAATGGTTTGTAACGTTGATGATTAGAACAAAAAATAAATATAGCAACCAACGATCGATAATGATGAGTTTGTAAAAGTATACGTTGAGCAAAAGCACCTGAAATAATAAGAAAGATTTGTTCGTCTTTGATTGATTTGATTAAATCGAGACATCGATCAAAATCAGAATAAAACTGAACAGCTGAATTGAGTTCAATTAACATTGATTGAGTGAGATGATAATCATCTGAATCATTCATATTTCCATCAAGCCAAATCAATTGAATATCTTCTTTGTTATCTGCAACTTCTTTTGGAAGAAGATTCTGTCGTCTTTCATTCAAGACTTCACTAGTAGCCATTATAACTAGTAATCACTTTATTATTACCTTGAAAAAATTCTCAACAGAAATATTTTATTTCAGAGGCTTTTTATGTTGTGTGTTGTAGAAGCAAAACATTTCTTTTCTTCCTACCTTTTTTCCAACGTCGTCTGACGAATAAAATCGGCGAAAGTGCCATTTTGAAAGTGAATGTCGCACTGTTGCTTTTTCGCGGAATGAAATAATGTTTTCGGTTCAGTTTTTTTCTTTTCTGAGTGATGTTGAGAGTGAGTGTAGTATGAATGAAAGATGTAACAAACAATCACCGTCAAACCTATATCTATCCACACCCTTCTCTATCGATACAATTGGTTCTTCTCATCATCAAAAATCATCTTATCTCAATGTTCATATGCTGATTCAGGGTCGAATTTATCGGTTGTTATTGCTATTGAGTTCATATACATTCATGTCCTTTCAGAGTTTCAATTGAATCAGAAGAATCACTGGGCTTTGGTTCGATCTAATACTGTAGTCTTCCTAAAATGTATTATAAATTTCGCTATTAATGCTTGTTCTATTCTTATGTCTTATTACACACTTAGAATTTTGCTTTTAAATATTCACCTTTATAATCTTTATGGTGATACGTTTTATGATGATATACGAACAATAGTTCTCTAAATGTCAATAGTGGTTGGTACTCGTGGGACAGCAATATATTTCGAGAGAATGAGATAAAAAAGACCGAATTCTACTTAATATTTTGTTTCTGCGCAATGAATTATTTTCTGCTTGATTTGAAACAATTATATCCTTCCTTTTACTTTTACTTTCACTATCGACGAGGTAAAGAACTAAAAACAACGAAACTTTCTTTTGAAGAAGAGTTGCATTTGTGAAAATCAATACTCAAGACGCTCTTGAACATATGGTGTTCATAAATGATATTTTTGCGAAGAAGTAAGACAATTAGGACTATTATCATCAGAATGTCTAATTATTAAAAAAAGTACTTCAGAGTTGATAAGACTGGATATCAAGAGGAGATACAGACATATTTACTTAGTCTGCATATTTTAATTAGTGTAAAACATATAACCCATTGTTTTATTTTCTTAAATTATCTGCCGAAAGGACGAAAGTGAATATGAAAAATAATGCCCTTTTTATTGTTATTGCTAAGATAAAATATGTTGTATTTTACGACACAGTATACAACACATTCCAATCAAAACAGGATTTGTATTGCTTGTTTTTAAAGTTCCAATGAGTCGCAGTTACTATTGAATTTTGTATCTTCGAGATAATCTGTTCAAAATTATTTAGCAATTTTTTATATGTTCTCGAATATCAAATGATCGAGAAATAACTGAAGTTTAACTATTTCACTGCGTACAAGTTTCTCGAAAATGAGTTTAGACAACGGCTGATCTCGTCTTTTTTTGATGACAAGAAGTTCGAGAAGAATACAGTCGATTTTGATCATAAACTACATTTTAAACCTTATCAGAAATAAAATCAATTCATATTTATACTTCACAGCTTGAAAAAAATCTTCGAGATCAAGAACAATCGGTTTTACTAAATGTAAATCAGGACGTGTGTTAGTAAGTAGATATATGTAAACGAGAATAACCCCATTGAATATGTACTATACATATTAATATTCGTGTTGTAATTATAATATATAATTGATTATATGCAGGAAACTTAACTATTTATTTTAGGCGACGTACAATAGTCTTCTTAGTTGCGGTGACAATAGTGCTTGTCATATCTGGCATCGTCATTGGTCTTGTCATTGGTCTCCAAAAGCGTAAGAAAGATTTCATTAAAAAATAATTGTCTATTAGAAGATTTCAACAAGAGAACGTATATAATTAGAGCAATCATAGCCTTAAATTTTATGTGTTTGCTAGTTGATTAATAAAATTCATAATTAGATATACATCAGCAGGATCGAGTTACAGGACACTATGAGCATTTAAAAAGATTCAAATAACATCGGACTTTTACTATCTGTGTTAAAACTAGAATAAATATCTCTCCATTTTGAAATCACAAAATTAATCATCAAGTTGAATTACTTACTGTATTTGAAATGTAATAAGTTTGGATGACGGTTTAGTGAATGAGAAATAAACACAAGACTTACACTGTATTCTTAACCTGACCGTCATCCATTAGCATATACTCTCTCACAATTATTTTAGAACATAATACAAACAAAAATGTGATCAAACAATTTGATTTATTCATTTATAATACCACTATCATTGATGTTATTAATAAACAGATTTTAACTACTAAAAATATAGGCATTGTTAATGGAACAATTATTAGTATCGATAATTCATCTTCAGAAAAATATATATTAGATAATGCAAAGGAAACAATTGATGGATCTTACTACATAGCATTGCCTGGTTTCGTCAATACTCACACACATTTATGGCAACATATATCGAAATCATTGGCTCCTAAAGAACCATTACAAAATTGGACTAGAATTTATCGACCTATTCATTATTTAACTAAGGATGAATTATTTGATGTTGTACTAGCTGCATCCTGTGAGGCACTTCTTTCAGGTATAACAACAGTTTCTGATTATGCATCATTAGGATTTAATGATTATGGATTCGAAACAAATGCTAAGGGTATTGCAGCAGCTGGTTTGAACGCAATTTTAGTTTGGCATAATCCTTCAATTTTTTTACATGATCAAATAAAATTAAAAGAAATTCAACGTTTGAAAATTAAATATCAAGATCAATTTGATCTATGGATGGGATTTGGACCATTATCATTTCATTCATTACCAGCAATTTATTCTGGTATTTTAATTGCCAAACAATTAAATATGTCCACTACAGAGCATACTATGGAAAACATTCAAGAACAACGAGATTTTCGTAATCATATGATTGATTATTTACAACAATATAAACGTTTTAATTTAACAAATGATGAACAAATTTTATACAATCTCACAAATTTAACGTCTCCATCAAATGTTGATGCTTATGAACAATTACTTCGAACTGTTCAACAAATATTAAAATTTGATAAAATCTTAGAAAATGATATATCATACAAAAAATTAACCGATGTAGAAAAGCAAATGTTAGATACATTTAATTATAATAGACGAAGTTCACCACTGATTTTATTAGATTATTTTCAAATATTAAAAACTCATTTGGCAATTCATAGTGTCTGGTTACAAAGTGAAGATATTGATATTCTCATACGAAATAATATGTCTATCTCACATAATCCAGAATCAAATATGTATTTAACATCTGGTATCGCTCCAATTGATGATTATTTGAGAAAAAATATTTTAATAACAATTGGTACTGATGGTGCAGCAAGTAATGATGGAATCAATTTTTTTACAGCAATGAAACAAATGTGGAATGGATATAAAGTAAATATGATGAATACAGATATATCAAAAAAATTTGATGAATGGAATATTATACAAGCAGCAACAATTAATGGAGCTAAAGCCTTGAAAATTGATAAGAAAATTGGTTCAATTGACATTGGAAAACAAGCTGATATAACTCTTATTGCAACAAATGAACTTGGCCTATCACCTTTACGACAAAACACTCTAAAATCACTACTTATCTATAGTGCTGATACAAGAAATGTTAAATATGTTGTAATAAATGGTACTATACGTGTCGATAATGGTTATATTAAATATCAAAATCAATCACAACTGGCTCAAAGACTTACTCAAATTGCTCGAGATGTTGATTTAAGAATAATTAATGGTAAAATTTGGTCAGAAAAATATATCATAACACGACAAGATCTTATTCATTCATACTGGTACAAATATCGATCAATTCGAGTCCAAGATACTATTGATCTAATCATAGAGTCTGTAGAGAATTTAACAATGTGCATTGTTGTATCTGGAACAACATTCGGTGGAGGAACTTATACTGTTATAGATGAACTCGCTAAGCAGAGATTTCCGGAAGATAAATTATCGCAAGCATTTTCGAAGCCGATATCCTTGAATGCAGGTATATCATTACGAATTACTAGAAAACGCAGCCAATATGAATACACAATATATTTAGGAAATTCAACTATTTTCGCGCAAAATAGTACCACCGCAGGACAACTACTAATATTAGCTGTGGAAGCGAACAGTGAATTATCAACAATCTGCCTCGATACAACTGTTTAATACATTCAAGTGGATAAAACTTATTTTCCAGCATGCTCTATTATATTTTAATAAAAAGACACTATTTTTCTCTGCGTTGTTCGTCGGAATCGGGTGTGAATGTAGATGAGGAAAACATTTTCTTTTTTATTATCAAATAGAATAGTTACATGAGTACTATAATACAAAAAGAAGAGAGTATAGTCCATGTATCACTATTGTTCTTCTTGTTGATTCGTACCATTTGAATCATATTCATTATTAGTCCAAAGCTACAAATATGAATTTATGCATAAAGAACATTCACAAGTAGAATTACTCACTTTGAAATTATTACGAAGTAGTTGCATGATAGCAGAACTTTCTGAAAACAATCAAGTAAGAGAATCACTCCCCAAGTAAATTATCAATAAACTCTTACCTCTATAAGCATCGTCACTGAGGCCATCTAGTTCCAATAAAGCATCATCGAAGGCCTGTATTATTGATATGCAAATAAAGAAAGAAATAAAATACAGCAAACCTGTTTAGTCAGACGATAGGAGATATCTGGTTCATTGGCAATTTCATAATAAAAAATAGAGAAATTTAGAGCAAGACCAAGTCGAATTGGATCTGTAGCCACCATTTGATTTTGAGCTATGTCAAAAGCAGTTGTGTAGGCATCTTTCGATTCTGTCGCGAATTCTGTAACAAACAATGTCAATTTTAAGGTTAGAAATCAATATACTACTTTGTCGCTCGTTGCCAGTCGATATTTCAGCCAAATATCGATAATAATCACCTTTCATTTTCAGAAAGAATACCTCTGATTCAGTTGTTGTTGCATTTAGAATGAGGTGTTTATCAAGTAAGCTCTAGAATGATACACTTTATTTTTTTTAGAACTATCCTATTTAGTAAATAAATCTTACTAAAAGCTCATGACAAATAGCTTGCAATTCATTTTCAATCTTTTTTCGATATGTTTTGACTATTTCTTGTTGATGTTCAGTATTTTGAGCTTCGTATTCAATATTTGATATTATTCGCCACGATGCTCGACAATTACCGATCACATTTTTGTAAGCAATCGACAGTAAATTACGTTCTTCAATCGTCAAATCACTATTAGATTCAGCAATTTTTTTCATACTAGCTAACATATCAGGATATCTGAACGAAAAAAATCGTATTATTAGAATGAACATATACTATATATATAGATACTTTACCGTCCAGCTTGTTCGGCAAGTTTTGCCAAATCAATTTGTTCAACTTTATCCGTCATCATTCAATGAAAGTAGTTACTAGCAGAAAAACTATATGAAATAGATAACTCTTTGTATTTATCCAATCAGCATACCTTAATCGTGTAGAAATATATGAATGCTAAATACAAAATCGCTCGGGCTATATATAGGATGCTGTCTACATATTTCCTCTCTATTTCTCTCTCCATCTACATGCTCTCGTTTTGCTTCATAATTTTATAACGAATAATTGTGTGTGACGTTATGCAGCAATGAGTGGCAAAACCTGGGCTAGGTATTGTACAATACAGAGCATACTTTTTATGAATCATTGACATGTGTAGAACGAACATCGGACGGAGTGAAAAGTATAATATATGGCGCAACGTCATTACTTAGCAACTTAATAGAACAAAATTTATTTTAATATGTAATAAAAGAGGGCGTTCTTGAGAGTGGGTGTGGGTAATGGTATAGACAGAGAAACAACATTTACACTCACACCCTCAAGATGGTCTAGTCTATTTCATGCTGAAATAAGTGACAAGACTAACTATCAGTAGCATTAACAAAGCAGAATAAAAAAATTTAAATGCGGAATACATATGTGAGAACGAAAAAATGAGAAAATAGTTAACAATAATTTGTTATTGCAAAGCTTGTTTAGCAGTGTTAATGAGATGATCTAATAGTCCTCGATATGCGGTCGATGGACGATGTAGAACATTTGGATCTTTAGGATCTTTCGGTTTATCATATTCGACTGCCTTGTCAGCAAGTGCATATGCATATTTAAAATATGCCAAAGCAATTTCAGGTTCTTTTTGACTTAACGATGTTTTCCCATCTTCAATTAAAATATTGCTCATATCTCGACAGAGTCGTATCAATAAAGTTACTTCATGATCAAACATTTGCACTTCTAATCCATCATTGATCAGATCTTCAGCCCAATCTCGATGACGTTTCATATCTCCGCAGAAAATGTAATATGATTCGATATGGAATTCTTTTTTCTGGATTTCAGGAATAATTTCTCTCCCCAACGATGCTGAGGAGATAAAAATAATTTTTTTTGAACGACCTAAATTTTTTTCAATAAGATTCAGTGCATCTTCATTAGTTTGAGCAAACTCGATTGGAGCACCACATTTGCTCATATCACAAATAAGAACATCAATTAGATCTGGTGGTACAGCTGCTGCTTCTACAAGACCAACTTGAAATTTTTGCTTCATTTCTTGACAATTCTTTTCCGCTCCAATATGAGCATCAAGCCAAATAATAATATATCCAGTATCGATCGACATTTATTTTTGTTTTTTCTTGATCACCAAAATAATTCAACGCACGTTATGTGTAGTGTGTTGTTATGTTATAAAAGCCTTGGTTATTATGCAAAGAATGTAAAGAGAATGACGATAGACACACACGCACAAGCGCTCGATGAGTCATATTTAAGCACAATATATAAAAAATGTTTTTTTGCGTTCTGTTGCCTTGGAAATTTCCGAAATATAACTGACTGACTTTTTTTCTTAATTATTCACGTGTTACTCTTTACCATTCTAACATATCAAAGCATGTAATTTTTAAATAGATTAGAAGCTTTCTACACAATTTAATCTACTGTATGCGATAGATGGCACTTCTTCTAAAAATAAAATTTTATGTTTAGTTTCATTAAATGCATCGCCTATCAAAATATTTGAGAGTGTGGGTGAGAATTGTATACTCTTCTCGCAACTATGGCCACACCCTTAACTAATTAACTAGTTCTTTCAAGAAATGAGTTTGCTATTACAGTTATAGAAATGTATACAATATCAAATTTATATAACTCTCTGACTTTTGAAAACGTGAGAGTGTGAGTGAATGAAAGTTAATTATAATTGCCACATTAACACTCATTCCTCTGGAGAAAATAAAACGTACTGTTTTGACGAGATATATATTTTCTTAATGGAATGTTTACTTGAAGGAGAAAACGGAATGATAAAATTTGAAAAAAATAAGGCAAAATATCTACAGAATAATGCATCCATTAGTATTCTGATAACTGCCTGCTGTAGGTTCGTTATTAGTGGATAAATCGATTTCAATATGCCCACTGTAGCCAGTAACTTTCAAGCAGTTTTCACGAACAAATTTTTCGACTTGTGGTTTTATTTTAGCTATTTTATTCGGTGAATTATTACCCATTCCTGTAATCACCGTTAGTTTTAATATATTTTCTGAACGACATATAGCCAATCTATGTTCTAAATATTCCAATGCTTCATTAACATAAAGACCATGTAAATCAATAACATTATATGAACGATCTCGATTAAAATGTTCAAAAATCAATCTTGCTGCTTGCTGATTTTTCTCGCCCATCTGTTTATAGAGATGATTCTTTTTTGTTGATAATACCTTTGCTTGAGATTTATTTCCATAATGATATTCATACTGCGATTGCTGTGATGCTGCTTTTGCTTCGAACATGAGTTGTCTTGCTTCACATCGTAATGATGCAGCTTTAGAAGGGATTCCAGATTGTAAGAATGATCCAGATGTATTAGATAAAGTCGAGTTATCATCATTGTTAGTGAAAGATAATAGATTACCCATATTTCAGCTCAATTTATAACTAAAACACACAATGTATATAATGTGTTATCTTTGTCGTAAGCGAATTTCATTTCATGAGCAGTCAAATATATCCTTACAACGTGACATTAGGAAAGATTGAAAAAAGGTTTTTCCACCTAAGCTGTCAAATTATCATCCATTACAGTAAGCGTAGCACGTTTTATAAAATCTGTGCCAAGAAAACCATCTTGAGGGTGGGTGGGTGTAAGTATCATATTTATATCACATTCACACCCGCATTATATAATAATCTTTATTATCAGTTACTGAATTACTTAAGAAATTATATTGTAACTGTCATCTATGAAACGCAACTTTTCTCTAGATTCTTTACCGCAACAAGTAATTGTATGTATTTTCGATCGACACCACTCGCTTGTCTGTAAGTTTCTATGCATGCAGGTTATGAGGGTAACGTAATATATATTTGAAGAACAAAAAAAAGAAAAATCTTCGTTCCATTTGTTCTTTTTTTTGTCGTTTGTTTATACAACTCGTTCTTCTTCAAGCATGCTCGTTACTTAGCACAACATGATATTCGAATTTCATTGATTTCAAGCAAGACGCACATGACCACTGCTATCGAGGACAATTCTCGTCTAAGGGTGTGGGATGGATGTGTTGCAATTTTCACTAAATCACACCCACACCCTATGAACATTTAACACCATATTGGATTTCGATTTATACTTTTCTCATTCTCATTATTCTACCAACAATTCTCAATACTATTTTTAATTCATTAATATTTATTTTAGTACGTTCTTCGATTCGTCGTGTACGTACTCTAGCAATAACCAGGACTTCTATTGTCAATTCAAATTATAGTGCTCGAGATATTCATCTACTTAAACATATACTTTTCATATCAGTGGTGTTTTTATTGGGTTATGTACTTATTTATACTATTCGAATGCTTTACTTAGATGCAGATGTGATCTTCTGGGCCTCGCAACTCATACAATTTCTTCCTGTACTAAGTGGACTTATCATTATAGTAGATTTGTTCTGGTACAATCGTGATCTTACACAATATATAAAAGACAGCATTTTCAGATGTTTGCGTTTAAATCCCAATTAATAAGCTTTTTTTTAAATAAAATAATTCAATTTTTCTCTGAAAATAAAGGTATGGGTATTGTGTGCATGTCTAACCTACACCCACACCCACCCTTATAACTCAAAAGTTGTAACTCAAGTTATAACTCAGCCCATTTTAACTCCGACTCTGATAAAAATAGAAAAAAAACAGACAATAACTGCAACTATTTTTTGTTCACAAATTGAGTTGTTTCAATTTTTTGTTGCTCCTGATGTTAAATTCGACTGGTATATTCATATATGATTTTTCTCCATCTTCGTTCTGGTTGTCCTCTTATTTTTAATTCTAGTCGATTTGTGTCTATTTTCACACGAAGAAAATATATTGTAGATGTGCTTAAACGAGCTATTACTATATTTTCAATCTTCTATATCTTTCGTTGCACAGTACACATAATAATGTGGACAATTTAATGAAAAAAAATTATAACATAAAATGTTTTTTTTTAATTTGAAGACCTGGGTCTTCTATTATGGATTTCACGTTTTTTTGCAAGAGGGTCTTTTAGTACAGAGGGGGGTTTAGTCTATTTCATGCTAAAATAAGTGACAAGACTAACTATCAGTAGCATTAACAAAGCAAAATGAAAATTTTTAAATGTTGAATACATATGTGAGAACGAAAAAATGAGAAAATAGTTAACAATAATTTGTTATTGCAAAGCTTGTTTAGCAGTTTTAATGAGAGGATCTAATATTCCTCGATATGCAGTCGATGGACGATGTGGATCTTTAGGATCTTTGGGTTTATCATATTCGACTGCCTTGTCAGCAAGTGCATATGCATATTGAAAATACATCAGAGCAGTTTCAGGTTTGTTTTGTTTTAATGATACTTTTCCATCTTCGATTAAAATGTTGCTCATATCTCGACAGAGTCGTGTCAATAGAGTTACTTCAAAATCAAACATTTGCACTTCTAATCCATCAGCCATCAGATCCATAGCCCAATCTCGATGAAGTGTCATATCTCCACAGAAAATGTAATATGATTCGATATGAAATTCTTTTTTCTGGATTTCAGGAATAATTTGTCTTGCCAGTGATGCTGAGGAGATAAAAATAATTTTTTTTGAACAAGCTAAATTGTTTTCAATATGATTCAATGCTTCGTCATCAGTTTGAGCAAACTCGACAGGAGCACTATATTCACGCATAGCACAAATAAGATCATCAATTGGATCTGGAGGTTGTGGTGGTACAGCTGCTGCTTCTACAAGACCAACTTGAAATTGTTGCTTCATTTGTCGACAATTCTCTTTCGATCCAATATGAGCATCAAGCCAAATAATAATATATCCAGTATCGATCGACATTTATTCTTGTTTTTTCTTGATCATCAAAATAATTCAACGCACGTTATGTGTAGTGTGTTTTTATGTTATAAAAACTTTGGCTTTATGAAAAGAATGTAAAAAAGAATGGTGGTAGAGACACACGTGCAAGCGCTCGATAAGCATAGTTAAGCGCAATATATAAAAAAGTATTCTCTTTCGTTCTGTTTCACTTGGAAATTTCCAACATATAACTGACCGACTTTTTTTTTCAATTATTCTCTTGCTACTCTTTACCATTCTAACGTATCAAAGCATGTAATTTTTAAATAGATTTCAACAATTTTTGTAACAACTGATTGTTAATAGTATTAGAACAGATCTGTAGAAGCTTTCTACACAATTTAATTTAATGTATGTGAAAGATGCCTCTTATTCTAAATAAAATTTCACGTTTAGCTTCATTAAATGCATCGTCTATCGATATATTTGCATGAGAAAAATTTATTTACACTTTTGCTCTATAGATACACTGTTCTTGTTGCGATTATCAGTATATATTACGATTAAGTTTTTATGAGTGATTGTGACTAGAAAAAAAGTTCATCAAGAAGAAACAATTTTCATTATATTTTATCCTTTTCTTAGATTCTCTACTGTCTACCAGTTGTTCTTGATAAACGGTTTTTGGTATTGTTTCAGCCTTAGTGACATTGGTTGATATCTGTGTTAAGTATTGTGATAAATGCCGTTGTTTTAGCTATAAATTTGATAAAGTTTTACTGCAAATTGAGCATATTCACGTATTGTTCCCTTCATACTTTGTTCAAAAGACAATAAAGACACGTATCTTGAACATACGAGAAGAGAGTATTACAAGAAACGTAATAATCTTCAAATTCGTCGATCATCTTTGGGTGTGATTCATCAATATTTTCTGTCGAATGTCTCTTCAAAATTGGTTATACACAAATTCGACCTCTTGGTGTATGGTAGTATTGATTGGTGTTGATAATATAGTTGATTAGAGATTTCAGTAGAAAATAAGCTGATTGTCAATTCAATAGAGTTGATTCCTTCTTAACAATGTGAATGAAATTATAGAACGTGATTCAGTTGATCACATAGTAAGGTGATATCTGTATAAACTCCATGTAATTTACGCAATGTTATAAATAGTCAAATATCATTTGAACATACGACATAGATTGAATCTATTTGTCATAGTTGATCTATAAACTGTAAAAGAGTTTCTAAAGACTGGCACGGGTTTCCTTTCGCAAATACAAGTGTTACTTTAGTCTCATCTTCTTTCACGTTATAGTGATAGTGGGTGGGTGTGAGTGGATAAATGAAGCACAGCTATCGACACCCACATTCTTAGGATGGCAATAGTGTGTCCACCATATTTTAATCATCATCTTTATAAATCATCCATCACTCTATGCTTCATAAACATAAATTCTAACTCATTCAAACTATACTACACATAAACTTCACAGACATAATGATAGCTAACAATAATGACTAAATTCCATTTACTCATCAATTTCTTATTGATCATAACGTTCTTTTATCAAAATCGTCGGTCCACTTGTTATCTCCGCAACTCGTTTACCTAACACTTCAAAAGCATTTTTTTTATCTATCTCCATACAGGCCATAAAAACAGTTCTTCAATAAAATAATAACTTTGAACGTATCCACAAACCAGTATGGGTGTGGGTTTCCACCAATCTCTTCTTCTCGTACATCCAAAGCTGCAGCCACAGCCACAGCCACACCCACCCCTACCACACTCACACTCATATCTACACCCACACCCTCGTGATTATTTCGACAACAATTCCTTACAGTTTTTTTTGCTTTTTCTTGTTTTTAATTAACTTTAAAAAATTATCTATCGTTTACTAGGGACATATGTAACAAAAAAAAAGGTCATTCGCACTGGTGCATAACGCGCACACTACGGTGTTTTTGAGATTATAATCATTCATTTCGAAATATAATGGATTGGATTTGAAAAAGTACTGTCACTACACTCAACATAGTGTTAATGTGAGTCACAAACACACAGATGATCAGGAAGAAGAAGAAGAGAAAGAACAACACGACTACATGTGGCACCATCACGTTTTGTAAAATTGTTATAAATAAAATGACTTTGAAAACGCTCCCGTTCATTGGGTGTCCAATTCTTCCAATTGATGATCCATGTCCATGTGTCTTGATCTCCGGTAAAATGCCAATCACGACACCGATGACATTTTTCACAAGGACGACCTCCACACATCAGTTGATGTTCTAAATCAAAATGTGTAGTAGTTAGAAAATTATGCAGATTACACAAGATAAAATTTCAGCTGTTTATTAAGAAGACGATGCGTTAAACTCGAACTAAGTCAATGAATGATTAGCACATGGCTACTATGAAGACTGGGAGTATATTGTATCTAATTATTAGTAGCACTTAGTGTTATCTTGAGAGTAAACAATAGGTTGGGTGTGGGTGTGTGTGAGTATATTAACGCAAGTATCTATACCCACAACCTACACCCACATTCATACCTATATCTATCCATACGACAGCCATACACAAAACCCTAGCTACGCCACTAGTTTTGCCTTTCGGCATTCTCATACTATCCTAATTAAACACATACCTGATAATACTGGACAGCCTGGATTCCAATGTGTCTCTTGTTTAATACCGACAAATCTATACAACTCATATACTTCAGCAGTAGCAATAACATTTGGAAATTGAGGTGTTGGTTGTGTTTCTTCCAGTTTATCTGTGAAAATTAATACAGGAACACGTGTTGCAACTGCTCGAATTACATCGACTGCCGTTTCTCTTTTGTTAAGCGACCATGTAGTAATCACTTTGAAGAGAGTGTCATGTGCTCTTAAATATTTATCATTCTCTGCTATCCACTTTCGAGCTTCTTCTATAGTACAAACTACATGTAGTTCGTGAAAACTTCCCATGGATGGATTCTGCGGCTGATTAGTTGTCATCACTGCTGCTGTTGTTGATGGATCGGCGAAAGTAGGAGAATTCTGAATTGAATCAATAATTTTTTTCGTATTTTCACTTATCATGTCACCAGTGATCCATAAAATGAGAAAGCGACGTCGAATGATACTGCTTCGTCGATGATTTGAAATAACTTCTTCAATCGTTTGTTCATGTAAACTTCGTCGACGATTTGACGTAACTTCTTTTATCGATGGTACAGGTAAAAATTGTTGCTGATTCAATGGAAAAAATTCCTCGACACGAACTTCAGTACCGCTCATCTCTCGTGTTGGCCATGGATTAGCTAATGAAAGTTGAGCAACAGCATTAGGGTGAATTCGGTTACATGCAGATTGTAATTCATCATCGGTTACTGGTCTTGTTTGATGAGGCCAATTGGATTGTTTCTCAAGATGTAATCTTGCCTCTTTCAATTTTTTATTCAAGTTCTCTATATATCTGTCATAACAATAATTCAAATGAGCATAGATATGAGCTTTTTTAACACTCGCACTGATTGGATTCTTAACAATACGTAATGAACGACCTTGTTGCTCACGTGCTCTTAGACGAGCCATGAAACTTTCATAGTCGAGAAAATCAAGAAATTGAAGTGGAGTACGAACTTCGATTGAATAAGGTGATGTTTTAGATGTACACGTACGAAGAATATTTCGTGCAAGTGCCATAGCTGCTGTCATTCCACTGTTCATACCTCGACCGGGCCAGAAATGTACATTCATTGCCGCATCCCCAACAAGACATGCTAGCATTGTCTTAGATTGTTTTATCGCACTGCCACATACAGTCTCTGTTGTCGATGTTGTTGGTTGTGCTTCATTAATTTCAAAATGAAGTTCTCGGACCACAATTGATGCATGCTGAACGTTAATCTCGATTGGTACAACACGAAAAACATATTTTGGAGATATTTTAAAAAAGTCCAATCCTTGTCGAACAATTGACCATACAGGTGAATTTGGACATTTGTTATAGTCTAATAAATTTAATAATTTATTATGATCTTTGAATTCTTTTACACATTTATCTAATTTTTCATGTTCATCTGGAGTTAAACGAATATAGAGATAACCTCGACGGCTCGCTGAAGAACTCACTGAATAACGTGTTTGTGACATCGTTAATATACAATTAAGTGCTTGATGGAGAGGTTCATCCGATGCTGGCACTTCTTCGGGTACATCATATGCTACACCACATGCATGCTCGATGCCATCATTGACCATTTCAATCTTACAGTATTTACGAACAAACGAATTCGATCCATCGGCACCCACTAATACATCAAAATCACCTATACAAATTTTCAATTGAATACATCTTTAAAATAATAAGAAAAAACAACGTCTAACTACTTTCAATTAAGTGTTTAGATTGTTCATTTAATTTTTCAGGAATTAATTCTACTTGACCATTTTGAACAAACGGCTGAATTAGATCAAAAAGCCGATCTTCAACTTCTCTTATTGGAATATTTCGTGATGTTGGCCATACACGTTCGTCTATATTTTGAAACAGACCTTCTTGAATAAAAGAAGGCATTTGTTCTATAACATGATCTTGTAAAGTGACAACTTGACCACGACGAGTGTTGCCTTGTTCTTCACCTTGCCAACGAATAACACCATGTTCATCAACAAACCATCGACGTTCATAAATAATAATCTTGACATGTTTACCCATCATCACAGCAAGAATAAGTGAAAAGATGAGTGCAACCGGTCCACCACCGGATACAACGATGATGAGTGGTGATGATGTCGTGTTCGCCATCAATTGTCTCTATGAGAAAACAACTGCCTATGATACGTTAAAAAAAATAGTTATATTTGTGTCGCTTATTGTGAAGAATAAATAGTAACGATAGTCAGATGAATACAAAGGAAAGAAAGGAAAAAGTCATATTAGCAAATCTGCAAGAAGCTATGTATGCCTAATAAGATAAGTAGGGCCGAAAATAGCACGTTGCTGGGGCGTGAGTGTGGTAGAATGATGGTGACATTGAACATCCACAATCGCACCCTCAAAATGGTTGGGTAACCAATTTGTTTTCTGATAACTGGTTGAGTAACTAGTTCTTTTCAAAAGAACTGGCTATTCTATTCTGTGCTGCTGAGTTACCATACATCTAGATTTTAAGCACATTATGTCATAGAGGGCATTATTTGTCGACAGAATCACTCAAAATAAGAGTAATTAGCAATTTTTCGACATTTTAAATGATTAAAGAACGAAGAGAGAATATTAAGCCATAAAATCGAATTTGCGCTATATGAAATTTTTTTTTCTTCAGTATAGCCCTTTTATCTCTATAGAAGAAGTTTACAAATCCTCAAAAAGGAAGAAAAGCGCTGTTAAAGAAGATGGATTGCGTAGTGCTTACTTACTTTGCTTATTTATAAATCACTTGCTACTATCCGCTTTTCGACGTATGTGGTTTGTCTAATCGGAGTGAATACAATAGTATACACAATCCATAGTTTATATACAAGTCGTTATCTAAAACCTGATAACAAATTTTACCTTTTTTCCAGTCTACAATGACGTTATTCATCTTGGAAGTTTCTTTACCTTTTGTAAGCAATAAGAGAAAAAAAAAGTCCCATGAGTAATTATACTTTTTGTCGACTAAACATTTTTTCGACAATAAATTCTCGAAAGATTAATTATATCAAAGAATTTCTTTTTCTTAGAAAGGTAAATTATTTCATATTGAAGGTATGGGTATTGTGATCATCTGATGCCCAGACTCAGACGCACACCTACACCCTCAAGTGCTTTTCAACTAATAGATAGGAAATTTTCTTTTCTCGTTAGAAGTGAATCCAACAAATACAGAAACTTTACATCCCCATACTGTTATGAACAAAAATGTAGAGGTAATAGAAGATAATTTCTTTTTTAAATTTATAAAACTTGACCTATTTTATTATTCCTTTACACCATCTACTGCTTGACTTTGAATAATCCTACTGAAAACGAGCACAATGTGAAATTAGTATTAATAATTATTTAATAACAGATAATATAAAATCGAGGAATCTCAAAGAAACACATCAAAGATTTTTTTCTTATTGATATAGATAGACATAATTATTACTGTTGCTTATTTGTGCAAAAAAATCGCTTCGTTAGTTTTCATCAAAATGTATATTATAATAAAAAAAACAGGTGACGACAACATATAGATAATAATGCTGATGAATTTATAACTAAAAACAAACTCTTCAATGTAAGTGGAGCACATCTAAGAAATAAATAATATAGAAATAGAGATATTGTTGTTATTTCCGTCAGTTTTCATTGTAAGGATAATGTATGATAATCATTTTCATTAACAATCTAACATTTTATTCTCTATGCACTTGCAAACTGACATAATGGTCGATGTAATTCAGATCATAATCATTATAACTATTCTCGCTCTTCTGCTTGGTACTGTATTATCTTTGATTTATCTTGGATCGATTATCTTCGTTCGACGTTTTCATACAGCGAACAATATTTTGACAGGTAATGTCTGTTTAATGGCTATTATTTGTTCTGTTTATTGGATTGTATATACACTATTGGCTGTCTGTCTCATGCCTGATCTGGCGCAGACTATATTTTGGTGTATTTTTTCAAGTTATCCTGCAACATTAGTCACTTGTTTATTTATTCATTCTGTAATAGTCATTACCATCAATCGATTTTTTACAATCAAATATGCAAATAAACACTTTTTCAAAAGACATGCATGGTCTTTTATATCATCTGCTTCACAATGGATTATATCAATTATTTTATCAATGCCTAATCTCATACTCTCCGTTCAGGTTAATAATAATCAATAATTAATTGAAATGAAGTTTTTATTTTATAGGAATGTATATCTGAACATCCAACACCATATTGGATTTCAATTTACACTTTTATTATTCTTATTATCCTACCAACGATTCTCAATATTATTTTCAATTCATTGATATTTATTTTAGTACGTTCGTCGACTCGTCGTGTACGTGCTCTAGCAATAACCAGGACTTCTATTGTCAATTCAAATTATAGTGCTCGAGATATTCATCTACTTAAACATATACTTTTCATATCAGTGGTGTTTTTATTGGGTTATGTACCTATTTATACTATTCGAATGCTTTACTTAGATGCAGATGTGATCTTCTGGGCTTCGCAACTCATACAATTTCTTCCTGTACTAAGTGGACTTATCATTATAGTAGATTTGTTCTGGTACAATCGTGATCTTACACAATATATAAAAGACAGCATTTTCAAATGTTTGCGTTTAAATCCAAATTAATAAGCTTTTTTTTAAATAAAATAACTCAATTTTTCTCTGAAAATAAAGGTATGGGTGTTGTGTGCATGTCTAACCTACACCCACACCCTCTCGATATCTTCATCCAGTTGAAAGTTTTCCACAAAAGAATCGATCAATTATTAGATGCACTCAATCGAATATATTTACTTTGATTATATCACAAATATGCCACAAAGAGTGGAAAGAGAAAGATTGGAAGAAACTACAATATTATTTTATTGATTCAATTAATGTAAAAGACAATTTATATATCAATGTTTGCTTCAATAAAAGAATCATATACAGTGAAACCTCTCTATTGTGAACAACATTGGGATCGGTTTAAAATGTTGACTATAGAGAGTGAAAGTATATTCTACTGTAAGATGATGGTTATAACTGAAAAACTATTTCTGAATATAGTTCACTAAGAAAAATTCCATTTCGGCATCTATATCGACAGTGATGTAAGTTTTAATGAACACTCCCTCGATAAAAATTAATTCTATTATTTCAATTCCTATTCATTCTCACTAAACCTATACATGTTAAAATATTCTAGATATCAGATTATACCCCTATCCAACACATGGTTACTTTATGCCATGTTTACTATATATGTAAATAAATTTGGACCTTTATCTATCAACATATTTCTATTTTTTATGTACATCATATGTATCTAAGTGAATCAATCTAATATCTTCTACTTCTTAACCTAACGGAAACGAATAATCAATCGATAGACTGTCATTGTTATTGTCTTGCACTCCATATCACTGTTAAAATGAAACATAACGAACAGACTAATCTAATTCTATTTGTGAGTGTATATATATAAATGTGTTCTTTCTGTCAAAATATTTTGTCATGTCATTATATCTAATGCAACTGTAAACTAAAACAAGATGTCACATTATTATAAATGAATATAATTAGATAATGTTACAAATCAATAATCGCATTATTTGGAAGGGAATTAAAAAATGTCTGAAAAGAAATGCCATTGACAATTTATCGTCTGTTATTATGAGACATCCTTCAACATGTCAATTAACTTTAGAGTTATTCTTTTGTTCTTCACAATAATACCAACTTTTTTTTGTCGTATCGTCTCGGAAAGAGTATTTAGTACGTATTAGTTATTGCTAATTCTCTACCGAATAACACACTTATAGCACTAAAGTGATCAAATCAAGTGTGTTAAAGTGGCATCATTAAGATATATATAGATATAGATATAGATTTTAATATAACCCAGACGTGCCATATTGTTAATTAGACTCATTGAATCTAAATATCTTCTAACTAGCAATACGTTGGTGCATGGCATACAGTCCACTTCTTGTATACAACGTGCTTGAGATATTCAGATAGAGAAAAAAAAACAAAAAAAGAGAAGTAACGAGAGAAAATATAACTGTTGAAGGACAAAAGATAAGCGATGAAAAGAGAATAAATAAGAGTATGAAACAAAGCAGGAAAGAGAACAAGATATTAGTTTACAACAATCATGCAATGGACAGAACACGTCATCACAGTACGCTGCTTCATTGTAACTTTTTTTTTCTCTTTCATTTTTTGTGTCACCATCATTGATAATGTATTTCTTTAAGAAAAGAAAAGACAAATGAGCGCAGTGAACTTCTTTCAACTATATTATCTGATCATAAACAAAATGTGAGCGTTTACAAGTTAATGGCATAATATTCGATTCAATAGAGAGAAAGTGCTCTATCGAATTCGATAGTTTGCTTTGTACAAGAGTAAGATTCAGATATGAAAGTTCGATTGTCAATTCAAAATACTTGTAAAATATGACTTTCATACTAAAAGTATCTGAATCTCACTCTTGTAGAAAACGAACGTTTTAGTTCGATAAAACAATTGTCTCTCTAGTGAATCTTATATTATGTCATACTAATTTGTAGAATTCTAGATTTGTTCATGATTTATAGTAAAACCTTCCATTATTAGACATCAAATGAATGAATTTAAAAGGATACGATTTTATGAGAAAAACTCTTCTATAGTATAATTCCCACATAATAATCCAAATATAAACCATTGAAACAACATATATAGAGTGAATGTGAAAAGGTATTATTTAATTTATTATCTATAGAAACAATGGTGCTTCTGAACGATGATGGTGTGGCACTCGACTTGAAGATCGTTCTTATATTGTTTCTAACACCGAATATCGTACTCATTATACTCACTTGTCTATGCACTTACGTCGCGTATATATCGAAGAGTTCACCTCGTCTATTACATTTTCTTGGTGCAGCCGCCAATTTTTTTTCGCGAGGAGCTCTTGTTAGTATTGTCTCTAGTATTCTACAGCAACTAGAAACGGAAAAACATCGAGATGTAAAGCAACCGACGACATCAGATGCACCATCACGTCGTGTTGTTAGACGAAGTAGTTCATTGCCTACGAATACTCTACCTGGAGTGTCATCACATAACCTCACTTTTGAAAAAAAACAGGATGCCGATTATCTCTTGCTTATTCCGATACAAATCGACTTGCTTCTTACCGTATTCTTGTACAAGATTTTAACACGTAGAACATACTTCGAAACATGTCGAACTTATTTAACAACGTATCATAATCGACCAAATCATATCGTTTGCTGGCACAAATTTATTAACCACAATGTTTCTAATTCAGACATTAATGCAACACTCTTTGATTATTGTACTAATCAAACAAATACTTACATCAATTATGAATATAATGATGTTATCTGCGTCCAGTATCTTTTCAAATTAATCAATATAATTGATACTACGACCAATGTACTTGCGTGGCATCAAGCTATTGTATTCATTGTCATAAAATCAATTGTCTGTGCATATTGGTGGCAACGGAAAATACGTAAGACTTCGTTTTGGCTTGGTCTTGTTCGTTATCAACGTCGGATGCTCCTCGCCGTTCTTCTCTATCCTCTGATAGCTTTATACATTATCATCTTCGTACTTATTTTACCTGTTTACTTTGTAGTGATGGAACGGCGTCGTATTGATTTAACTCATTATCTTCTATATGCTTGTCTAAAGTTCATGGTGGCAACTATTGCTCATGTTAATCTTTATACACTATCTAAATGGAACTCGCTCTACTGGCGAACAAATCTCAATCTAACAGAAGATGAAGAGAAAGAAATAAGACATCAGCCACTTCCTCGATTATCTACAAACGGTACTGACACAAAATGTTTATCTCTTCCACATTCGACCGCACCGAACAATGATTCGACTTGTGCAACGCTCACAGAACCTGGCGAAGTCGAACATTTTTCTTAAAATGAAATAAAATTTATCGTTTCTTTGACGTATAAGATCTTATGGAAATAATATTAACACAATATTCTTATAGAATAGTCTCGTGAACTGATATTACGAGATGAATCTTGGTGTGGGTGTAGATCTCGATGAAAAAAGTAGTCATACCCACACTCACACCCTCTCAATATACTCAAGAAATTATTAATCATGCATTCAATCGATGGCTCACATATGAATAAAATTACAGAACTATTAAAAAATCGAAATTTTATTTATGAATAATAAATTGAAAGAGAACAAATCATTGTAATAAATGCAATAAAGAAATAAATATTAAGATGAATATTAAAAACAAATACTGAAAGAATTGCTGCTACAATTAATGAAAATGATATAACAAATAATCGAATAATATTTGATGAATGTTTTATTATTACACCCATAAATATACCACTCAATGCTTGTGTTAAAATAATTATCCATGTATAAAATGTAAAACCATGAAATAAATTAAATGAATAAGAACTTCCTGATGAATACATTGCTACAGTAATTGCTGGAATTAAATTAAAAATCACTCCATAAGTGTAAAGAAAGATATTTTGAATATGTATAGATTCTGTATAATATTTTTTCAATATCCATTCATTATAAACACCAGAAAAACCACTTATTATACAATAACTTGTAATCATAAAAAAACCTAACGGATGAACATACATGCGATTCATAACAGCACCAGATGTTGTTATCTGTTTCGGAACACCTGATGAATTTCTAATTGTTCCTATATGTAAAAAAAAATATATATATTATTATCAAATCATTTGTGAGAAAAAAATTACTATTGTTGTAGAAACAAATGTTCGAAATATTTAACTTTCAGATTTATATACTCTCATACATTCGATTGAGACAAAAGAACATCTCTAGTAATTCTTCATTTTTAATCTACTCAAAGTATTTCTCGCTAGTCTTTTTATTTTGAAATCGATTTTTCTAATAAATAAAATAGTTCTATTTTCCATCATAGATTTTATCATATAGAATAATTTTTAATAAATTTCTTCAAATACCTAAGCTATAAGCCACTCCACCACTAAACAATAAAAACAGAGCAAACCATTGTTTTCTTTTTAGATTCTGTTTAATAATAAGTCTGTACATAATAGCTGTTGTCAATATTTTAAAGTTTCCTAAGATTTGATATGATGCCGGATCCATATAAAGTTGCATATGCACGGCTAAATTATTATTAATAAAATATAAAATTCCTGGTATGGAATAAGGTAATGATTGTTTAAACCATGATATAAATTGTTCTTTA